TGGTTCGCTGTAACTTCACCTATTGCTGTAGTTTTAAATTTTGAGTTTTAACATTCACTTCTTAAAAATTTGAGTTCTGACTTCTCTGCCTCCCTCCTGCCCCTCTCCCACTCATTGAGAAGGCACGCATGTGATATCAATTACACACGGGAAATCACAAAAAACCTTTCCATGTAAGTCATGTTCCCCACCCCACCCCCCAAAAAAGCAAGAAAAATAAAGTTTTTAAAAGAAAGTTTAAAAAAAATACACTACTGGTGTATTTTGTGGGGGGGGGCCAAGATAATTGGGGTTAAGCAACTTTCCCAGGGTCACATAGCTAGTAAACATCAAGTGTCTGGTCTGATGTCGGATTTGAACTCAGGTCCTCCTGATTCCAGTGCTCTATCCACTGCACCACCTGGCTGCCCCAACTGGTGTATTTTTGCAGAACCATTAACTACAGCAGTCCAAGGTGTACCTGTATGTATTTAGTATTAATAGAAGTAAGGTAGTTCCTAAATCGGGCTCCCAACATCCAGATGGCTCATTTCCCCTTTCCTGTGACATCTGAGGGTACATTCCTGTTGTTTTTCTGCTTTGCCCTGAAACAAGATCCCACACCTGAAACTGGGTTTTGGCCTCAAAGAGGCCAAGATTTTCTAAGCCTCCCCAGAAGAGGCCAGACCATGACTCACCCTCCCCAGGCCGTGGAATTACAGGCATCCTTATCTCACTCTACCATGGTAGTCTGAGCCACCTGGGTCACACCCAGGGCTTCCTGCCCTGCCCTCACCTGCCTCAGAACCTTTGTTCCCTCCCTCCCCCAAATCTGAAGTCCTGGGAAGGACTCCTCATCCCCTCCCCCATCTCTGCCCACTAATATCCTGGGTTTTCTTCTAGGTCTGATTCAAATGACTTCTGGGATATGCCGAACCTCCAGTTCCATCATGAGCTCCTGGCCTTTTTTTGCTAGCTTTGGAATTTCCTGCTCAGGACTAGGAGAGGGTCACGAGTTGACTTCTGAGGTCCCTCCCAGTCCTAAATCTGAATACCAAAAACTGGGTCTGGTCTCCAGTTTTCCAATGTCTTCTTGCATCTTAGGAATTCCCAGCATCCAGCACCAGTGCTTGGCCTGTGGCAGGAGCTTGACATTATTGTTTTTTCTCAAGTTGTTTTTAGCTGTGTCTGTGTCTGACTTTTTATGACCCCATTTGGGGTTTTCTGGGCTCAGATATTGGAGTGGTGTGCCATTTCCTTCTCCAGCTCACTTTATAGATGAGGAAACTGAGACAAACAGAGTTAAGTGACTTGGTCAAGGTCACACATTTAAAACTACAGCAGTAGGTGATGTTATAGAGATCCATTTCATGAAATTAGGAAATCTGTCGGAGTACACATTTGAACTCAGGGCTTTCTGACTCCAGGCCCAGCACTCTATCCACTGTACCACTTAGTTGTCTGGGAGCAAATTCACACGTGTGTGTATGTGTGTATATATATACGTATATATGTATTATGTATGTATGTATATATACTTTAAATGCCTTGCAAACTTTAAAGCTATACACCTGATGGCTTTTATTATTATTTATATTTGCTGAATTCACAGGATATGGAAGTGACCTACATTAACATCTCTGCACTAGATATTAAGTACTTATTGTGTGCCAGGAACTATGCTAAATGCCAGAGATAAAAAGATAAAAATTAAACAGCCCTTTCCTTCAGGAAGCTTATGAATTGGGAAGATCATACATACATGTAAAAGGTTCTACAATAAAAATACAAGGTAATTTGATCATAGGTACATATAAAAGGTTCTACAATAAAAATACAAGCTAATTTGATCATAGGTACATATAAAAGGTTCTACAATAAAAATACAAGGTAATTTGATCATACGTTCATACAAAAGGTTCTACAATAGAAATACAAGGTAATTTTGTGGGGAAAGGCCACATGTAGAAGATGGCAGAAGCTGAGCTTTGAGGGAAACTAAGGAATTAGAAGTGAAAAGGAAGGACATTTCAGGGACCACCTGGTGCAAAGGCATGGAGACAGATTGAAAATGGAATGTCATGTTGGAAGGGGAAGGGAACAAGCATTTATTAAGCTCCTACTCTGCACCAGGCACAGATGTTAACTCATTTGATCCTCATCACAACCTTGTCCCTGTAAGGTGGCTACCTCAGGCAACTGAGGCAGTTGAAGTAGTTAACAGGTAAGCTTAGGATCACACAACTAATACTTATCTGAAGCCAGATTTAAATTAGGGTCTTCCTGAGTCCAGGTCCAGGACTCTGTTCACTGAACCCTCTTGTTGTCTAGTCCTTGTGAGGAATAGTGAAAGGTTCAATCCATTTGCTGTTGCCTGGAAACATTTACTGAATATTAGCTCAAACAGCACCACTTTCTATCATGTGACCTTGGGCAGGTCATTGTGCCTTCCTGAGCCTCAGTTTCTCTCTTTGTTAGACAAGGGGTTGGCACTGATTTCTAAGGTCCCTTGGAGCTCCAACTTTCTGGGATTCTTTAATCATTAAACCTCCTAATATTTACTGAGCTCTGGAAGCCCAGGCTTCTATATTTTTAGTTCAGAACACAAGCACACAAAGTCCCCTTTATCAACTGTTGGTGGGGGAGGGGAATAGTTTCCAAAAGTTTAAGAAAGAAAAAGGGCTCACTGCAAAATGCCTGGCCCTGAAACCAATGTCGGAATAAAAATGCCAGTGGATGCAGGCAGCCGAATCCCTGGATACAACCTGGCTTTTTCATTTGTGTCCCAAACCTGTGATTTCATCGACGGAGGGAATTCTCCGGGAGGAAACTCCTATTCAGGTAGGGATAGTTTCATTCTTTGTGTCCCCGGAGCCTAACACAGGGCCTGGCACAGAGCAGACGCTTAATAAATGCCTGTCAATTGGTTGATCAAATGCTTACCAATTTACAGTCTTTCCAGAGAGTTTCCTGTTAAAAATCCCATCAATGAGTCAAATCTGAAGAATTCTGTGAATTTGGTATAAACACATCTTAGGGAACAAGACTCTAAAGGTGAGCAGGGAGCACTTTACAATTGACCCGCCTAACCCCTTAACCCTCACCCATCCCAGGGGAGGAGAAAGAAGGGGCTCACTAAAGGGTATTGAGACCTCATTGGAATTACAAACCGGTCTTTTTTTCCCCCTGAGGATGACCAGATTTTCTCCCATCCCCAGCCCTTCAAATACGCACAAGCAGATCACACACAGGGGCCCCATCATCCTCACAATTTCAAGACAGAGAAGGGAGGGCCCAATTAAAAAAAAAATAAAAGATTTGAAATCATTAGGACAAGATTATTTTGATTTCTTGTTGATTGTAATTGCTTTCTGGTGAAACTTTGCCTCACTTTGTAGTCACAGAGTGGCACCTATGTTGCCTCTGAGGTCTTACTAGTTTGTTTCATTCAAATGTATCAGTGGCTATGGAGAGTAACTGACACTAATTATCTGATGAGGCTGCTGGCAAATACTCCTAGCCTTATTTTTACAGAGGCAGGAAAAGAAATATAAGGGCTCAGGGTGGGCTAGAGTCAGCAAGACCTAAATTCAAATCCTGCCTCAGACACGTACTAGCTGTGTGACCCTGGACAAGTCACTTCACCTGTTTGCTTCAGTTTTCCCATCTGTAAAATGGAGATAATAACAGCACTTACCTTACAGAATTGTTGTCAGGATCAAAGGAGAGACTCTTTGTAAAGTACCTGGCACATAGCAGGTGCTATATAAATGGGAACTATTGCTATTATTACTAGCCAAGCAAGTCAGATGTTCTGGGCACCCTTTGGGGGCAGTAATCTCTAGATTCCCATGTGGAACGATCCCATGAAATACCATGCTTGTAGAAGGGTACACATATTCAGTGACTTTGTAACTACCTTGCCAAAATTCTTTCTTTTTTTTTTAACTATATGTAACAGAAATACATAATTTCTCATAAAAATACTGATGCTAATAGCTAAAGTTCCTCCAATGAGACACTCTTCTCTCCCCTCTGAGAGCCTTTTCACTGGCTGTCCCCCAAGCCTGGAATGCCCTCTGGCCTCACTTTCGCTTCTTGGTTTCGATGGCTTTCTCAGATACTTAGGTCCAAATTCCACTCTCGACAGGGGCCTTTCCGGTCCTTCTCTCCTCCCTCCCCCTCCCCAAACTGTTAGCTCCTTCCCTCCGAGATTACCTTCCATCTCCTCCTTCCGTATACAGCATATAATTCTTTTTGTGTTTGCCTCCCCTATTAAAAGGTAAGTGTCTTGAGGGGAGGAACTGTTTTTGCCTCTTTTTTTTTTTTTATCAGCGCTCAGCTTAGTGACTGACACATAGTAAGTGCTTTAAAAAAAATTATTGACAGAATCCATACTCTCAGCTATAATGCACACCTGACCATCCCTACCCTTCCTCGGAAACCCCCAGGCTCCTAGTCAGTCCCCTAAAAGGTGTGTGTGTTGCATTTACATTAAAGTCTGCATTGCTCTAGCATTCAGAGCAGCCTCTGAAATGAAGCAAGGAGAGTCTTAGAAATATTTGCAAACAGACTGAGCCTGGTCAAAGTATTTAAGTTTAAACTTTATGATTTCAATATATGTTTCAAACATATGGAATGCTTGAATTTTTAGTTGTTTTTTTTTTAAAGATGAGATTCCCAAGGGATTTGGTTGCATGACGGAACACTCACTGCAGACTGTTAAATTAAAATTAGACAAGATTTCTTGGAATCTGGAAAGCCATGTGGATTTTAGCTGTGAAAGGCAATCCTATTGGCTCTGATTACAAACCTATTTATATGTTGTATATATCTTGAAGGGGCCACAAGTCAGTCTAAGGTAAGGAAAAAAAATCAGTTTTCTTCTTCTTTCTAAATTGTATTGCTTCAATAAATCTCCCCCAGTAGATGTTTAAGATGTAAAATTACAGCAGCGTAACAATCATTTTTTTTCTTCTAAAAATAAAATAAATAAATAAAATCCTTTAAGCAGAGCTTACCCGGGCTCACCGACCACACCAGACAGGTGATGATGAAGAATCTCAGCATGGGGGAAGGCAAAGGGCAGGAGTGGGGGTCAGGAGGGGTGGCTTCCCTACTGTCTCCCGGCCCCAGATTCTGAAGCTCCCTCAGTCTCAGCTCAGATAGCGAAGCCAGAGGAGGAGTGACAGCAGGAAATTACCCAGCAGCGAGTAAATGGGAAGGTTGGCCTCACACACACCTGGCCAGAATTCTAGCTCCTCCTCTTTCCAAAGAAAGGTCATGTGGTTTCCACCCTTCCACTCCCATTCCCACCCTGAATCATTCTGGGGCATATTTGAATTCAAGAATTCATATTTGCAAAGTGATGAATTCGAAATAGTTTCAGGTCTATGTGGGTGGCTTACTGGTAGCTTGGCTTGGGGTGTGGAAATCAGAAATGACTTCAGTCTTTTTTTTATTGCTCCCATACCCAGGAGAGAAATAAACAAGAGTAGGCAAAGGCTAGCAGGCTGTGAACACATCCAAATTACATTCAAAACTGTCTCGAGACTGAAAGCCCAGGACAGGAGGCTTCAGCTGGAGAGATCAACAGCAATAATGCTAAGAACACTTTGGTTTGCAAAGCTTTTCAGCTCCTTTAAGGCTCACAGCAATCCTACAACTGAGGCACTATTATTTCCATTTTCAGAGCAAGAAACTGAGGCTTGCAGGGGCGTGGGGTGGGGGTGGAGCTAAGGAGCTTATCCATTGCCTCACAGCTAGGGAATATCAGAAGCAGAATTTGAACCCAGCTTCCCTCTCTTCATTCTCTTCCTCTCTCCCTCCCCCTGCCTCTACCACCCCATGGCTTCTCAATGTATGGAATATCCATTGTAATCCATTCAGTTGCAAGAATTTATTTGCCCAAAGGGCTGTGTTTCAGATTCAATGATAGTTCTTGCTTTTTTACATACTTTGATATTTCAAAGATGTGTGATTTTATGATCTTGAGTACTCTTTCCAAACCCATAGACCCCAACCTCCTCCTGTCTTTGAAAACAGTTTGTAGGTAGATGTTGTGTGTGTGTGTGTGTGTGTGTGTGTGTGTGTGTGTGTGAATCATTCCCTACTGGCCAACCCTCTCTGGATGTAGCTAGTCTGGGATATTGTTCCAACTTTTCCACCTTGTAGAACACAAGCCCTTTATATTGACTTTGAGGGTCTTACATTCTTTTTGAGAGATACAACATAATCACAAATAAATTTAGTATAAATTAATCAATTAATAAGTATTTATTAAGTGCCTACTATCTTTCCCTTCTTTGCAGAGGTGGGGCACTATGGGTATGGAACGTTGCTTATACTAGCAGACTCAGTTGATTTGTTGATTAGTTTTGCTGAACTGTTTGTATTCCTTCTTATTCTTTCTTTTGTATTCTTTGCTACAAGGAATAGTTTCCTAGGGAGTGGAGCGAATAATATGTTTGGAAAAGAAGGTGGGACAAAAAGAAATTATTAAACTTTTTAAAACAGAAAAAAAAGAATATAAGCTCCCTGAGGATAGGAACAGTCATGTTTTTGTATTTGTATCCTCATAGGTTAGCATATGTTAGATAGTTAATAAATGCTTGTTGATAGAATGGAAGTTATCAGACCTGGATTCTGCTGTTTTCCATCTGTAGGTCCTGGGGGAAGTCACTTTATCTCTCTGGGGTTGTTTCCTCATTTGTAAAATGAAGGTGTTGGGGTAGTTGATGTCTGAGGTTCCCTTCCAGCTCCAGACCTTGTGTGAGCCCTTGAACTAGATGTCATTGATCAGGTGGAGCTTGTTTTCAAAGGCATGGGCTTTGGGATGCTGGTTTTGGGGGTTTGGTTTTTTGTTGTTGTGATTGTTGCTTTTGGAAAAAAGGAAATGAAACTCAAAAACTTAAATGAATCCCCAATTGATATATGGTCAAAGGATATGAATACAGAGTTTTCAGAAGAAGAGATCAAAGCTATCTATAATCATATGAAAAATGCTCTAAATCACTACTGATTAGAGAAATGCAAATTAAAACAACTCTGAGGTACCACCTCACACCTATCAGATTGGCTAATATGACAGAAAAGGAAAATGACAAATATCGGAGATGTGGAAAAAGGGGAGCACTAATAAATTGGTGGAATTGTGAACTGATCCAATCATTTTGGAGAGTAATTTGGAACTATGACGAAAGGGCTATAAAAGTACATACCCAGCAATACCACTACTTGGTCTGTATCCCAAAGAGATCAAAGGAAAAAAAGTTCCTATATGTACAAAAATATTTATAGCAACTCTTTTTGTGCTGGCAAAGAACTAGAAATTGCAAGGATGCCCATCAATTGGGGAATGGCTGAACAGGTTGAGGCATGTGATTGTGATAGAATATTATTGTGCTATAAGAATCGTGAAGAGGTTTTAGAAAAGCCTGGTAAGACTTACATGAACTGATACAAAAGGAAGTGAGCAGAACCAGGAGAAAAAATGTATTGTAACAGCATATGTTATTGTATAAAAATGTATTGTAACATTATTGTAACAGTGATTGACCATGAATGATTTAGCTGTTCTCAGAAATACAATGATCTAAGAAAATTGCAAAGGACCAATGATGAAAAATACTGTCTGCCTCCAGAGAAAGAATTGATGAAGTTTGAATTTTTTTTAATTAATTTATTTTGATTTATCAACAATCATTTCCATATACTTTTGAGTTGAAATTTTTTCTCCCCCTTCCTCCCCCCCACCCTCCCCCAGACTGCGTGCAATCTGATATAGGCTTTACATTTACATACCCATTAAACATATTTTCACATTAGTGAAGTTGTAAGTAAAAATTAAAACCAGTAGGAGGAACCATCAGAAAGATGAAACAAAACTCAACAGAAGGTAAAAATAAGTGATAGCGATTCGACTTCCATAGTTCTTTCTTTGGATGTGGACAGCCTCTGGAGATGTCTTAGATCCTCGTAATGCTGAGAAGGGTTCAGTTTAACAATCTTAGTCATTGCATAACATGGCTGTTATTGTGTACAAAGTCCTCTTGGTTCTGCTTACTTCACTCAGCATCAGACCATATAAGTCTTTCCAGGTTTTTCTGAAGTCAGCCTGTTCATCATTTCTTACAGCACAATAGTATTCCATTACATTCATATACCACAACTTGCTCAGCCATTCCCCAATTGATGGGCAACCTCTCAATTTCCAATTCTTTGCCACCACAAAAAGAGCTTCTATGAATATTTTTGTACATGTGGGTCCTTTTCCCATTTGTTTGATCTCTTTGGGATATAGCCCTAGAAGTGCTATTGCTGGATCAAAGGATATGCACATTTTTGTAGCCCTTTGGGCATAGTTCCAAATTGTTCTCCAAAATGCTTGGATCATTTCACAACTCCACCAACAATGTATCACCAACAATGTATTAGCGTTCCAATTTTCCCACATCCTCTCCAACATTTATTATTTTCCTGTTTTGTCATGTTGGCCAATCTGATAGGTGTGATATGGTACCTCAGAGTTGTTTTGATTTGCATTTCTTTAATCAATAACGATTTAGAGCATTTTTTCATATGACTATAGATGGCTTTAATTTCTTCATCTGAGAGAAATGTCGGTTCATATCCTTTATGAACATATATCAATTGGGGAATGACTTGTATTCTTATAAATTTGTCTTAATTCTCTATATATTTTAGAAATGAGGCCCTTATCAGAGACACTGGTTATAAAACTTATTTCCCAATTTTCTATCTTCCTTCTAATCTTAGTTGCACTGGCTTTGTTTGTCCAAAAACTTTTCAATTTAATGTAATCAAAATCCATTTTGCTTTTTGTAATGTTCTCTATCTCTTGTTTGGTCATGAATTCTTCTGTTCTCCATAGATCTGATAGGTAAACTATTCCTTGCTCTCCCAATTTGCTTATAGTGTCAGCCTTTATAGCTAAATCATGAACCCATTTTGACTTTATTTTGGTGTATGGTGTGAGATTTTGGTCTATGCCTAGTTTCTGCCATACTGTTTTCAAGTTTTCCCAGCAGTTTTTTTTCAAAGAGTGGGTTCTTATCCCAGAAGCTGGGGTCTTCGGGTTTGTCAAATAATAGATTTACTATAGTCATTGACTACTGTGTCTTGCATATTTAACCTATTCCACTGATCTACCACTCTATTTCTTAGCCAGGACCAAGCAGTTTTGATGATTGCTGCTTTATAATACAATTTAAGATCTGGAACAGCTAGGCCACCTTCCCCTGCATTTCTTTTCATTAGTTCCCTTGATATTCTGGACCTTTTGTTCTTCCAAATGAATCTTGTTATTATTTTTTCTAACTCTATAAAATAAATTTTTGGTAATTTGATTGGTATGGCACTGAATAAGTAAATCAGCTTAAGTAGAATTGTCATTTGTATTATATTAGCTTGGCCTACCCACGAGCAACTGATGTTTTTCCAATTATTTAGATCTGACTTTATTTTCATGAGAAGTGTTTTGTAATTGTGCTCATAGAGTTCCTGGATTTGTTTTGGGAGATAGACTTTCTAAATATTTTACGATGTCTACAGTAAGTTTAAATCTAATTTCTCTTTCTATCTCTTGCTGTTGGGCTTTGTTGGTAATATAGAGAAATGCTGATGATTTATGTGGTTTTATTTTATAGCCTGCAACTTTGCTAAAGTTTTTCATTATTTCAAGTAGTTTTTTACTTGATTTTCTAAGTATATCATCATGTCATCACAAAGAGTGATAGCTTTGTTTCTTCTTTGCCTATTCTAATACCTTCAATTTCTTTTTCTTCTCTTGTTGCTACAGTTAGCATTTCCAGTATGACATTGAATAACAGTGGTGATAATGGACATCCTTGTTTCGCCACTGATCCTACTGGAAATGCTTCTAGCTTGTCCCCATTACATATGATCCTTGCTGAAGGTTTTAGATAGATGCTACTTATTATTTTTAGGAAGACTCCATTTATTCCTATACTCTCTAGTGTTTTTAATAGGAATGGGTATTGTATCTTGTCAAAAGCTTTTTCTACATCTATTGAGATGATCATGTGGTTTCTGTTAATTTTGTTTTCCCATATAGTCTATATAATATTGGAATTAGTTGTTCTTTAAATGTTTGATAGAATTCATTTGTAAATCCATCTGGCCCTGGAGATTTTTTCCTAGGGAGTTCATCAATGGGT